TTAAACAATTAGAAACAAAACAGAATCATGCATGTATGTATAGTTTAATACAAAGGACCGAAAACCAATCACAAAGAGTACTTCATTAAAAAAGTTGAGATGCAGTAGGATGGGGGATAACCGCCATAAAGTCTTGAGACATGTTTTTAAAAAGTTGAACTTACATTAATTTTACATGGCTTTCTAAACATGCGGCTCTCTTGTGCGTCTCGCACAACGTCTCGAGTGCAACCAACGGTGATAGAAGTCCCTCTAGAAAATGTGATAAATATGCATTCTGTGTGAACGGTTTGGTTTCGGTTTTGACGTAAACAACATCATCTCCGCATTGATGTTCTTTTTTCCCTCAATATTTTGAATGAAAAACGTAGCAGCGACGCATCTAGTGGGTTCAACTGGATAGGCTAACAAAAGCATTAAAAGACTTACATCGTCATCGCATCTCGTGCGCCGCTGATAAGGCTGCCTGATGCACACCTAAAATTCGAATGCAACGTTTTTGCATTCGAATGTGGATCTTTATTTTAAATTCGACGAATATTTTAAATTCGAATTTTTTTTTGACAGCCCTATTGTCAATACTGTTCTCTATGATGTTGTTTTGCAGATAGAGAGACGGAGTGGAAAGAAACAGACTGAGAGAGAGAAGAAGAAGAAGATTCTTAGTGATCGCCGCAAACCTTTGGACATCGACAATGCCAGCAACTCTGCTCTCAGGTTTGGAGAGTCATTGGAAATTTAACTAATTAATATGGCACATCAAGCACAAAGAAATGGAAACTGCCTCATGGGCAATATAACGCCTTTGCGCTTCGGGCGTCCCGAGTTCGAGTCCCAACTCGCATACCTTTACCTATCCCGCCCCCCCTCTCTCCCACTTCACTTCCTGTCAAGGCAGCAATGCCAAAAAATAAGTATTTAAGAAATGAAAATTCTGCCATTTTATTCACTTATATGTTTTTATTTTTTATTTTGAAGAATAGGGGCAACCAAACTGTTTTAATTACCATAAGAAAAAAAATCAGAATCTAATTTTTGATCAACAAAAGAATTACATGATGGTGCATGATGACAGAATTGTGATTTTTAGACGAATTATCCCTTTAAAGAGTGTTCTTAAGCACACAAGCAGTTGATTAGTGTTAACTAATTCAGTAAGACTTTTTTTTAACCAGTTCTTAACTTCTGTAATATAATTCCATATACTACAAATACAAATAGTAATTAAGCAGATTCAATCATATAAAAACAATGATACTTTCTCTTTCTTTTTCATCAGGGAGAAAACAAAGGAACTGTGGAGCTGGATGCGTCAACTAGAAGCAGAGAAGTTTGAGTTACAGTACCAGTTTACCAAACAGAAATATGAGGTAAGCTGAAGACTAAATCACTTTGAGTTGTCCTAGAACCCACGGAGTCACCATGAAATCAGAAACGACCCTGTTTTGGTCTCAATGTGTAAGAATCATCACTGCATGTTATATAAATGTAATATCTTGGTCTTCCTTACTGGCTGTGTCACTCTGTGCAGGCTATTGGTTAATGTTAAGCAGTAGTCAATTGACGCTACTATTGTCAGCACTGCAGGCTTACAGTTAAAGCAGTAAATAAATGCCAGTTTACATCAATATGATAAAGTCTGCAGCATCATATTATTTAAGTAAAATGGGTTATGTATATCATTTCATGCTGACTCTATTGAAATGATTTCAAAGAAAAGCATTCTTATCCACTTGCATCTAATGTCTTCCTGGATCTAATTATATGGAAACAAAATGAAAGTATTGCTCAGAGTTTGCACAAATAACTCATTCATCACACTCTCATTATCCTGTGTTCCGTGAGATGTTTAGTGTTTTTGATTGTGGATCTCTCTACAGATCAATGTCCTGAGGAACAGAGTCAGTGACCACCAGAAAACGTGAGTTCATCTGTGTCTGGCCAACCTGATTTCATGAGAAAGCTATTTTACGAGGTAGCGATTTGGTATGAATTCACCCAATGTGATTTGTATTGCAACGTACGACTTAAAAAAAATAAACATGGAATAAACACCCCTAAAATTAACCGTCAATACTAGGTATGTTAACATGCACTAATTTTCGTCAAAATAAATTCACATACAGTTTCCATTTGCCGCGTTCAGATGTGGAGAAAGCCACCGCAATAATGTCACTGGAGCTACCACGAGAATAAATGCCTTGACAACATATCTAAAAAGCTGACACTTATGTTAGACTAGGGCTGGGTGATAAAACCATAAGAATAATTATCTCTATATAATTTCCCTCTAATTATCTAATTAAAGAAGTTTGAGAATGTTCAATATAATGTTTATGCACTATGCAAATATTAGTAAGACACCAAAATTAAAGTCAGTTTAAGCCAAAATAATTTTGCAGGGCAATTTTATTTGCATTTTGACTGTGCTAGTGTCTATTTCATACACACAACATACACAGTTTGGCAAGTGTTTGTCAGCCCTTTCAGTCTGATTTAAATGTAATTTGGATCAAGCTCAGTTGGATCAATTGAGGAATTTACAAAAAGGCTTTTCAGTCAGACTGAGCCATCAATCCAATTATAAACTGATTATTTGGGTGCATGTAAATATAGCTATTGTGGTGTTAGCAGATTACACCAAAAAAAACATATGCATGAGATCATACAAATTCATATGAATTACCCACCAACTCGTCAAAATGTAAAATAGTTGAATTTCATAACTAAATGTTGAGTTGCATTATTACGCAACATCTACTCATCATCAAATCTCTGCATGCAGATCAATAATCTTGGCACTCAGAAGGTTGGCAAGTTGGTGTTTGTTGTCCACTGAACTGGATCTGGCATTATTTTGGTTTTAACTCATGGGTGATTCTATAATTGGAGATACATTTGGCATTGCAGAAAGTTAAGAAAAAAAACTTTTCACTAACAGAATATTTTTTCAATATCTTATTGAAAACATATTTAATTTTAATAATTCAGTGCTTGCCAAACACAAGTTACTTGCTTTTTTTTACTTTTAATGAAAAAAAAACTAATGTCTTTATGGTATTGTTTGTCAACACTGTTATGGACAAATTAACCAATGTGTAGAAATAACAATAAATCATAACAGGAAAAATCCTTCTTGTTTCATTAGACAAACAGTCCTTACATTCCATCACTTGAAACTGAGATAATATTTCACCTATGCATACCTTAAAAATTAAAAAAAAAAACCTGTCTTCACAGAACCGTCCACTTGGAGCAAATATTTTTCATCTGAAAATGTATTATATACAATATCCAGT